AGCTAACGAGCACGACGAAAAAAAATCATCGCGCCGTTCTGCCGTACTTTACGATACTCAACTCGGGGATCAAAATCGATATAATTGCGCGCCTAAACGTTAGTTAGCCGAGGCTCGCGGCGTCTCACGGTTTATAAAGGCCACTTCGTCGGGCTAACGCGCGCATCGGAAAATTCGCACGGATTAAGATTAGAGATACAATCGAGCGGTAGTCGCTAATGGTTTATTACGCGCTGTCCGCGCATCCCGCAGACTCGCAGATGCCTGGCTTCTCCTAGCCATGAAGGTGACTCGGCTGTTCAGCCTCCTCTCCTAAGGGCAGCGTTACTCGGTCATGCCTGTCAACGATCCGACAATCGATATCGCGCGCATCGATCGGCATGCCGCCGCGCCGTGCCAAGCTGAGCCGGGCCGGGCCGGGCCGAGCTGAGCCAGACCAGGGCCAAGCCAGGCCAAGCCGTAGCCACGCCGAGCCGTTCCCAATTAGGACGCACGCGCTTCGCATTTTTCAGCCGGCGTTTCATATAAAATAAATGTGCTAACTAACCAATTACAGCGAGACAGCCCCTGGGAGACGACCGCTTGTATCGCCGGCGCTCATTAGTGTCACGCTTAAGTGCCGATTGCACCTTCGCCGTGCAGTGAGGCGCAGCGCGGCGCGGCGCGCCGCGGCGCAGCACGGCGCGGCCCGGCACGACGGCAGATGCGATGACGATGATGCATCGCGATTCCACGACCGGCCTCGAGAAAGTCAATATCGCACGCCGGAATTCCGCGATAGCCCGTCAATCTGACGCGTCGCTTGACCGATGACTCTCCTTTGTAATGTGCTTCAAAGAAAGTGTGGTCATTACTTATACTTCTGAATAGCAGGTTCTTACTTTTCAAGTAACTTACGCTTTACTTTATTTTGTTCCGACAGGAAAGCTAGATCCAAGATTTTTGCGCGTTGCTTGAGTATTGTTCTAATGTGTATCATTTATAGTTTATTATATACAAATAAAATAAGAGTGTCATTCTTTCGTTTTCAAGCGTCTCTCTCTCTCTCTCTTAAACGACGACGCGTGCTCGCCGTGCTCGGTTCGCGAGAAGCTCAACAGACATGAACTTTCAATTTAAGTTCCTGCGCCGTCGTTTCGGCTTTCGGAACGCGACAACGCAAAGGACACTCGCCGAAGAATCTCTCCTGGCCGCGTGCGAGCGCGCAAAACAAACGCGTCCGATTACGATTTCACAAAAGGGTCCACAAAAGTGCATAATCGCGCGCCTCGCATCAGCGTGGCACAGCATTTTCCTCGCATCTCGGGCTCGCCATAATTACACGCGCGGGAAGCTTTGTTTTCTCAGCGCAACCGAGCCACACCCTGGCTTGGCGCGCATTTATATATATTTTACACACATACACACCGATATAATAATAATTGTTCGCGCCCTTGCATCGAAAATGACGGCCTTGTCCTTGCGAGGCCGCGCAAGGCCGCGCTCCCCGGAGACGCATCCATCGCCCGCCGCGCCGTGGGAAGATCGCTTCGCGGAGATTTCCTTCTCGCCGATGGACCCTCCGGCTCGCCTTGACTGATCCTTTCCACAGATCGGTACGCGTACTACTACTATTACTACTACTACTATACCTAACGTACACCGCTTTAACTAAACTTTACGCGGCTGCAGTAAATATAGAATTAAACGGACCCGCGTTGTACGTCGTTGCGCCAATGGCATTAATAAACCCGGCGTGTTTCGCATGTGCGCGCCGCGCCGCGCCATCCCTCGCGGTGTAACATCGCGCCAGATGAGACCAGGAAATGTTCTCGTTGCCGTAATTTTGGTCTCGTTAAAGGGATCCCCTCGCTATCTCGCATTGAAGATGCAGAGACGCGGTAATACATATCGAGGAAATCTTGATAGGCTGGAGAGTCATCACTCTCCGATGTGTTAATATAAAAATGGACGTTAGTGATGGATTATAGAAAATTAGAAGGTGAATCAGATTAAGGTAAAAAACTCGCGCTACAAGGTAATACAAGGAAGTATGATTGCGCGGAAGAGCGGCCGCTTCTTGACGACTTCAAGAGTTAGTGGAGTAAATTGAAATGAGTGTGGAAGTGAGTCAGCAAACGACTGCTTAGTTTAAAATCTGATTCAGCTTCTAATTCCATTCAGCCGTCATCGCAATAATATTGTCATTTTGATAACAGTATCTTATGTGACTCTTATGTAATTGCAATATCTGTATTTTATTGCAATATATATTTTCTTTTTGCGTTACTGTAGGAAGGACAGCAAGCAAGCAAATCTTGAATTAAGTATGCAATTATCTTCGTGGGAACAGATTTTAGAAACGATTTATTGAAAATAAATTTAAAAAATAAATAAAAAATTGAAATTGAGAATTTCGCGAGATAATTCCTATTGAAAAATGAAGCAAGCAATGAAATTCAATTCCACTAACAATATTGGAGATGCACTAAAAAGAAGGACTCATCGAGCAGGGTGCGAAAAAACGTAACACGGGTTGCAGCGATCGCGACGTGTTACGGCAATGAGATACGCGCACCACTTTGTGGTGCAACTTTTTCAGGATCTCTCGCCGCTTCTTCGATCTTGTTAGCAGCTTCGAATGGCATTCTCCTGCACGCTTGGCTGCTCGCGTGATATTAAGCGATTTTTGCGAAATTCTTATCCGATAGTGCGGCCGCGCGGCACGCATCACTTGTGTCTCGCTATTAGCAAGTTATTTGCTGTTAATTCACGTAACACGGCCGTGTGAGAAATTACCGTAACCCACACCGTCGGATTTGATGCTATCGCGGAGTGGTAATACGGATTCTCGTTGTATTTTGCGAATATCGTACGTGGGACCGTTACATCCTTTAGAGTATAACAACGTAAATTGCGGCGACAATCTCCATTCCGCGATATTTCCCAGAACTTAGGCGGAAATTCACGCGCGCTTGCTTAACGATCGAGTCGAAATCCAGCAGCGTTTCGCAAACCGCAGCGAAATGATGAAAATCGACGAAGACGATGACGATGACGATGACGATGACGATGACGATTGAACCAGGACGGTTAGACCACACGAAAACATCGGCAATGGGACATTGCGTATTCGCGTTGCGTAACGCTTTCGTCCGCGAATTTAACGGTAGCGAACCGGCGATTTCCTCTGTCTGTCAACCGGTAAACGATCGTGCTCTCGTGTAATTGCCGTGCTGATATTTGCCGCTTGGCTAAGCGTAGCGTACAAGAGAATCAGTGAACGGAAGATCGGAGAGACGAGGCTTCTTCGAAATAGGCGAATTAAAAAATATTGATAGAAATTAATTTTGTGAAATTATATGAATTTTTATTAACACATTGTTGACTAGGCGTTTGCAGAAATTAAACGCTTATAAAGGGCCAGCTATTTTTCTCATACAAGCCAATTCAACAGGAACAAAATTTTATAATAAATTTCATAATTTTGCATTGTGTAAAAGATCTAGAAAAAGTAAATCATGATAAAAAGTAACGTATTACAAATTACAAATTAATAAAAATTACACAAATCTTATAATGAAAACTTTATCAATTTTAAGCTCTGACAACTTCGCATGATAATTTAAACTGTATGCCTCTCTAAAAACTCACCGCCGGTTAATACCTAATGTTCAGGCAATAAAGATGAGTTGATGCGCCTTTGGTCAATAATGTGTCAAAAATCGAAGATTGATTTATGTATATCTACCTTTTTTTCATTCCTTCCTTTTCTTTTCTATTTGTATGTACAAACATATATGTCCTAATATAATTTGACTAATAGGATTAAAGATCGTTTAGTGAATGTTACGATATTTAAAACTCTTATTGTACGGTCTGAGAAACCTCCATAAAAAGGATTATACGATGCGTGAGAGAGAAACCCGTAATGACGTAACATGTCGGACGTTCGCATCGGTAATGTATGCTCGACAAAAATAAAAGCCAAGGTCGTTCCACTTTCCACCCACTCGGAAACCACGCCAATTTGCTCGTAATTTTTACAATCTTATCCGCGATATCGAGCGCGCGAGCGAATCACATTGAGGTGCGAGACGACGTATAAATTCGAAATACGTGTAAGAAGAAGGCTATTACGCGCGATATCGTCATCGCCGAATTTCAAGCGAGAGTTACCAAATATAGGGACTGCGCTGGGCTCGTTTTATTTAAGTATAGCCGTATAAGAAAAATTCGCATGTAGCATTTCAGTCACCAAGTGGTTTGTCTTTTACGAAAGCGTGCGGCATTTTTTTGCAACGGATGCATTTCTGTCGATCAGGATGCGGTTTAAAAGATTCCCGAACACGATGAATGCGATCATCGACCGCGTCAGAGAGAAAATAAAATGTTCAATGTGTTGAAAGTAAAATTAACTTTCTATAAACTCGCAGAAAAACTCGAGACGAAGTCAAACGTCTGTCCTTAATGTTAAAAAGTGGCATGATCTAACGAAGCTCAATGATCACGAGCTCGCCTCCGATCCTTCCTTCCTTCGCTGAGATTGATCTGCGCGCTCTCGGGAGGTAGCTTCTGATCCCAGCCACGATCTGATCAGCTGCCATTTAATCTCAGCACGCCGCAATTGTCAGCTCCTCGTGCCTCGTCGTTGCTGTGCATACACAGAGACTGACTCGGCTACCACGGGCGATTATTACAGGCTCCTAGGCAGGAAGAGAGTATCGAGGGCGGTGCGCGCGCTCCTGTGGGGTAACAGCTCCTCTCAGCGAGCAACAATAGGACCCATATTGAATAAACCCACGTCCACGTAGGTCGGAGCGAGGCGCGCGTATTCTGTTAACTGGCCGTACGGAGGACTCCGCGGGCGAGGCTCAGGCCTCAGGCCGCCGGTATTGCTGGCACTGACAGCCAAGCTTGGGTAGAGGTGGTGGCACACGGTACCAGTGACGGCTACACGACGCCGCGCCGTTGTGTGCGTGCGGCTCTTGGTGCCGGTGGACCTCTTACACTCCACTCAGTTCGAGCCGGGCGTCAGTGACTTCGCGTCCGCCGATCCGATCGGATCCTCTTCAAAAAGTGCGCGCGTTCTTCCGTTCGGCCAGAAGATAGTCGGGCAAATTGGACTATTCGATCGCATTTACGGAACCGGCGTTGAACGTGCGGAAATAATTGGAGTACTTCCTTTTGGGTATTTTTCACTTTGTTCATCCCTCGGCGTTTATACCCTTCCTACAAAATTGAAAAATCTTCAAAGATGAATATCTAAAATAGAGGATTATTTCGCGTATTTTTTTCTTAATTTAATCTATTTTGTTTTTAATGCTACAGAATTTGTGAATGTACTTACGTAAATTGCAAGACAGATCCGCGATTGTCTTTATTGCATATCATCGTAGATCACAATTACGTTGCCGTTTCGATCGTGATTCGATCAGTTCTGCAATTAAATAGATGTAATGAATAAATGTAACGACATTCGTCGAAGAAACATATCGACTCGATAGATTTGCCGAGCGACGCGTTTCCGCGATCAAACCGCGCAGAGTGCCGCGATAGAGAACACTTTGGCCATATCGCCTGTCCGTCTGTTTTCAGACCACCGTGATGCAGCCCGACCTCGGCCGACAAGGTGTCTGAAGGATATCCCCAGGATTTTTTTCCACCTCTTTCTCTGGCCTTCGCCTTTCCTCGCGGGATACGGTAGGTCCTGCTCGCGGACTACCAAGATGCAGCTCAGACCCAGTTATCGAGGCGTCTGAAGGCACCCCGCGGCCCGCGCACGGCTCGGCATAAAGCAATAAAAGCGCCCGCGCGCCACGAGATATATCTCGCGAGGCTCGCGTAAGAAAACGGCGAAAGAAAGCCGACCGCACCGGTAAATCATAAACGCCACGGGGATCGAACCCCACGGGAGATAACTGCCTTCGCGTCAGGAGATAGAAAGAAAGAGAGAGAGGAGCAACGGCTCGGTTAACCAAGCGGGATTCATCATTCGATCGCGCGTCCATCGGATCCATCTATCCTCGGACGCCTCGGCAGCGCTCGAAAACGAAACAGCCCGGAAGAGGGGCCCCGTTCGTCGTTCATCATCGGGTACAGGACGTCCGGAAGAGTACCTCGGCCGCGCGCGCGCGCGGAGAGACGGTCTTCATCGTTCGCCATCCTTGCTCGCCATCGTGGACATCGTTGATAGACCCTGATAGCTTCGTCTAAGAATATACACTTACGCGAGCATAGACAGCCTTTCATCCTCGCGAGCGAGTGATCATCACGGATATACTGCCAGTAAATCGTAATAGTCTAAGGAGAGATGCGTTGCCAGCCAGCGTTCACTCTACGCAACAATTGAGGATATTATCGATAGATCGTGATAGTTTTGCCGTAACGCGTTTGCGCTACCGTCCTGATCAACCGAGGGAGGATATGATCCACCGCATGTGTGAAAAGTGTAACGCGGAAAGTGGTAAACTCGCGAGCGGATCGACATCGATCGTCTTAACAGTGCCGCCGATTCGCGATCGATCGGCTCGTTCGACGCGGTGTTTCGTCGACGGTGTTTCGTGATCCTCGATCTCACTACGCGCTGTTGCTCCAGGCAACAGTTTAGTGGCTAGTGAACGGAGTTTCACGTATTATTTATAACGGGCCGGGGATCAACGAGGCGACTTTAATATCCGCTGCAAATCAATTTCATGCCGTTTCGATGAACGAAATCGATTTTATCGCTCGAGCCAGATGTAAAAGTAACGATCGCTTAGTTCATCGAGAATGTACAATTGGATCTCTCTTTCCTCTTCGCGTGCGACAATTTTACGCGAGGATTGCCTGACGCTCGCAAAGTGTCGAAAATAACTCCTCGCCGAGAGGGTTAATGTCACTATCATCGCACCGCGAGACGGAAAGTGACGGTCGCCGAGCGGCCGCGGCGGAGTGACATAATTGAAGAAGAAAGTGCCAGCGCATCCAAGCCCGTTATTAAGCGGTATAATGAGCGGGTACCGAGAGGGGAACGAAGATGCCTTCGAAAGCAAGCGTCGTGCTCGCTCCGCCGCCACGGGGATTAAATGACGCTGAGCCCTCGAGCTGTCCAGCGTTACCCTGAAGAGGACTGTCTCATCCGAATCAGTATTCATCGCGTCAGTTTCCTGATCCCGACACACTTTGTGATCCCTCGCCGGCTTATTCAAACTGTGCACGTTTCGCCTCGATGTCCTGCGGGAACGTTCGCGCGGTGACACTGTCTCGAAACTTGTGAGATCATGTCGTCGAACGGTGAATTCTCGACGATGTCCAGCGAGGAGATGCCTTCGCTCCCCAAATCCCTGCCGAGCTCGAGGGAGGCCACCGCCGAGGGTGGTTCCGGTTCCAGCGGCGGATATATGCCGCTACGGGAGTTCCTGGATCGGTTCTCGTTACCAAGGGTCGTCAGACTCGAGGGTACCGGCGGCAGGCCGGTGCTCCTGTACAAGCAGCAACAGCGATCGCTGAGAGTCACGGCGAGCCTGCTGATCCACCGGTACCGGCATGACGTCAAGGTGGGACCGGAGATCGTCATCCCGGAGGGTTATCCAGGTGAGGGTTTTCCCTTAGATCGGCCATTCGATGCGAAACGATTATTGCTCCCGGTTGCATGAAGGAAATTGCAGTCGGGTCTCCGACGTTTATTGCTCCTCGCGGAGGATAATTCCGGAAAGCGGAATGCCTGCAAAAACCGTCATTTTTCGCGTGCATGGCACTTCGATTCGATAAACAGTTAACATCACAAAATAAAAATAAAAAATTCTCGATTCGCGATTGATTGGAGTACTTTTCTCAAGAAAAATAACGTGGAAAAGAGAACTATTTAAAAAACATGAAAATATAAAAACATGTATCTTTTTTGATGTTTTTTGAACGTCTCTCGTTCTTTAATGTTATTTGAATTGGTATCGACGCGGCCACTCTTCTAATGACCTGTGTCCCGTGTGGTGATAGTCAGCGCGTAGAACGTAAATTATGCTCGGCAGAACGAACGGTAACGGTTGTGGAGATCATCCGGCTGGAATCATCGGAACAGGTTATGGACTCCATCGAGCTCACGCTCGCGTTTGCGTCGGCGATCGCGTGGACGTGCGAGAAGTTGCAAGAAAAAATGATAATGCTTCGACTTCTCTCTCTTTTCTTCTTCTTTTCTTCCTCCTTTTCTTTCGCTTGATGAAAAAGGGAAGGCTCGTTCTCGCTCTCGCATTCGAGAAAGAGAAGGAGAGCCTCTTCGTCATACGATTAATATTCCGACTCGTTCTTTTTCGTCTCAATCGTAAACCACTTTGTGGCGAAGTAAGCCGCGAAGCTCGGCTTTTCTGCGTGCGCGCGCGCGCGCGCTATCCTCCGCGACTTATATTGGTTTCTGGCATCAGAAATAAAAATTACAAGGCAATAAAGCGCGGTAATGTGGACCTATTAGATCGAATGGACGGGAGGTAAAGTGGGGAATGTTTAGGCTCGATGGTGGCTCGACAGCTTGAAGAGAGAACCGTCAGCTAACGACGCCTGGTTCTTTCGCGCTCGCAAGAAGCTATTCAATACATCGGCATTTCTCTCCATCCTCCCCCCGTCATCTGCCTCGTACGCTTCTCTCCTCCTGTCTCGTTTCCTTCGTTCTCCTCCTCGACTTCGTCCTCGTCCTCGTCCTCCTCCTCTTCAGGCGCAAGACGTGAAATTGGCGTCGCGCACGACAGTGTCGCGCTTGACTCGCCGCTAACTGGCCTCTAATAAACGCACTTCGTATTTTAATGAAAATGTCGTTGGTGAGACGATGCATGGCGGTTATGAGTCAGACATGTTAAGTTACCGGGGCTGCGAGCCCGATGGAGAGTTGGCATATTTAATGCGCGTCTCGCCTCTTACCATCTCCTCAATGAATGTCGCAAGGCGATTACACTCCCGATTGCAAACCTCTGACGAATCGCGAAATCCGCAAGGAAAACACGTTTGCCGAATTGACGTCACAGCTGACGAAATTTCGTCATATGGTTTTTCTTACTCGACAACGTTCCGGTCGAGTCACGCGAGAGAAATGTCGCCGATAATTCTCGCGGGCAAATGAATTATTCCGCGCGGAGCGTGTCGATGATTCACGGTGCCGGCAAATCCGGAGTGTTGACAAACGCTTTCTAGTTTCTGCCTAGATCTCACGCCGACCTTGAGGTGGCTTAGGATGACTCGATGGTAAGTGGCAATTCGCCGCTACTTTTCCCTTTCGATTCCGCTGTTCGGCTCCTCTCTTTGCGCTCAGTCCGCTCGGCAGCGTGCGCTCGCGGACTTGAAAGATTTTGAAATTGAAACTCTTAGCACCAGAATATTATAGAATTACAGCAAACGGAGGACGGATGGCGATGGGAAAAAGGTGATCCGGTTCTTTCACGCATTATGCCAGCAAACAATTTCCTACTCAACACAATGTAACTGTTATGTACAACGTGTGTTATATTATACACTTATATTGTTGAGTGGGAAATTATAATATTGATGTAATGTCTACTATTAATTGGTGTTTGCTGGGGACCTGGTAAAGTTTTCGTGCGATCGTATTTTTTGGCGACAAACGCTGGACGAGTCGCTCATCGTTCGACGAGGAGGTCGAGGACATTTTGAGCGGAGTGCGCGTATGCGGATACAAACTCCTCGTCGCCGTCGGTCGCATCATAAATTCGCACTTGAAACGGACGCGAGATTGGCTACATATGCACCGCGCGGTACTAACAGTAAATTGAGCCGAGAAAACGTTACTCCACGCCCACGAATTCGCCACGTAGCGCCGCGACGTAACTCTTTACGCGGCGTAAAACCACGGACGCGCGAAGAGGACGAGGGGGACGAAGAAAAAGGTCGCGGCCAGACGTCTCTCGCGATGAATTAGTTCCGCGTTTTAAACGCTCGGACCACGCGCGCGCGCGGCGAGAACACCGGCCCGTTCTTCGCGGTAATAAAGAAGAAGTCGCCGGACGTTTACTATTGGCCGGTTCGGCGCAAAAAGCACTAAGCGGGCATGCAGATCAAATAGCGGACCGTTCTGGCTCGAAGCAATCAGAAGTCACGCGGCGTTATCGTCCGTATGTTTTCCCTCATTGGCGGAATACGACGACTTTCCTCCGGCTCGAGCTGTCGTCCCCTCTCCTTTTTCTCGTCTTCCCGCTCGGCGAAAACTGCGGGATTGCTTTTCCTTATAGCCGGCGGCTTCGTTTGCTCATTTTATGAACCATCCACCGGACCAGAAACGCGGGACTCTTCCCAACGAGCTCGCTGGGAAACTGCAGATTCTCAGTATTCGAAGCTGTACGTTTCGCGTCATCTAAATTCCGACCGGCGCGCCATGATAAATTTCACTATTTTACGGAACAGAGCTGTTTCCTCTTTCGCTCCTCCTTGTACTTATCCCTCGGGCCATTTTTCCCTCTGCGTCACCGTGGAATTTCAACCGGCCGGCGCGCGGCGCGGCACGATTCCCGAGCCGGAATGACTTTCGTCATCTGGCTTAATCCCATTTGTCCGGCGGGGCGCACGTGCGTGAAATGCGCGATCACCGCTTGCGCAGCTGCCGTTAAGCGCAAGCACACCGATCCGGATTGTCGGTGCGAAACCGCATTGCGATTTCGTCGACGCGGCATGACATAATCCGTCCGTTCGACTTCCGTCTGTCCGGCGCGAAAATTATCTGTTAACGAGATTGCAGTGGAATTTCGTCATACACTTTCTTCTAGCATTACTGTACGATTCTCTATACCGCTGTAATATAATATCGTGACGAGGCAGCTTTAATGGACTGATCGAATTTTGACTTTTCATCGTTGGATGAAAGAAAGGCGCGCGCGCGCGCGCTCGTTACGTAGATGTCATCTACGCGGCGAAATTGAATCCCGCTGACGGCAATCGAATGCTTTTCTTTTGATAACGGGGAATTCATGCCGGGATAGTTAGTATCGCGCAGATTAAACACACGTCGCGATTCCTTGCGTCGCATATATGCACCTCTGCGTCGTTCGTAATTTTCCGTGGCGGAAAAGCTGGATAAAAAAATCTGAAGCCTGCAGGCTTTCATCGAAGAGAGAATTATTAGTTGGATATATTAGAGGCGTGTACCTACTGTACATCATCGTGATCAATCCTCCAAGTATTTTTCACGTAGAATTATGTGATTCCCGAAAGATGAAAAAAAGGCATTCGAAAAAGAATGAGAAATGTGTCTCGAATCAAAGTGTATGATGCAATCTTGAAATTTTTGGCTCAATTCAGACGTCATTCGCGATTGCAGTTATACTTGTCCCAAGATAAAATCTGATTAATATAATTCAAAGAATTGAGACAAAAATTATGATTCTTATCATAACGAACCACGTATCGCATCGTCGCAACAGTTCGTCGGCTTTGCGCAACGAGGAGGAGGGTGTCACATTAGAAGCTCGCTTCGATCGCGGATCGTCCATTCGACGAAACGCGAAACGGAATTCTCGGTCGGAGGTATACGCAACTTGAACCCTCAACCGGGATAAAATTACTAGGGTGAAGATTCAGACGCGCGCGTCCGATTCCAGAGACTGATAAGGACGATGGACGATATCGCACAAATCACCGGCCGCGGCTTAACTGCTGTTCGCGCAAATCCCGGGACGAGAGAGGGCCGCGACGAGCTCTCCGCACGCCGACCGCGCGGGCTCCAGTTTACAGTAATTTATTAGGCGTGTAAACCTCGGGAGAACGCGCGGTTCTCGTCGGCGGCGTCGAGGTCGACGTCCTTCCTCTCTCTCACGTGAGAGACGGAGGTTCTCCTCTCGTTCTTTTCCATTCCTTTCTTTTCCCCTCCCCTTTCTTTTCCTTGCCCGCGCCCGCTGCACCGTTAACATGCATTCGACGAGGGATGATGATGCCGGTAGCCCTTAAAGTTTTATGGAGCGGTTTACGAGATAATCGCGTACCCGCGCATTTCGGCAACCAACGATGCGAAGGAACCACCTTTCGATAGTCGGTCGTTCGCCCGCGGCAAATCCGCAGAGCATTCGCGATGCACCGTTGCGATCCGTTGCCGGTCGCAAAAAAAAAGGAAAGATAAAACGATCTCGCGCTGCCGACGGAAGAAAGGCGGATCGCCGTAAAGTAAAATGCGAGTGACCGATAGCACGATGTGTGAAACGATCAGGTCTAGCGGGACATTGTCCAGCTTTCGCGTGTTACATACTGAGCAAGAAAGAAGAACCCTTTCGTTAAAGATGTAATATCTTTCCGATCGTATATAAATATTTACGAGATTTGAATTTCTCATTTCGTGAGCGACACGATAAAAATATGATATTTCAATGGACACAAAAAAAATGTAAAATTTGTACTCGCAATCATCCTCCGCGCCGCCTCCCCCACGCAGGGAATTATCGACGATCGCTTTCGTGCGTATCGTGGTAGATCGGCGATTTCGCGCATTCGCGCGCGGAAAGAGGACTCCTCTCTTTCTCTCCGGACAGAGAAGCGGAGAATGAATTGCGTGCAGTATCGCGATCGTGATTGCGGGCCGAGGGATCGTATAGATCGGTTTATCCGACGCG